GGGGCACGGGCAGGACGTGCGGGGCCTGACCCGCGGCCTCTTCCCCCAGGGCGGTTTCGTGTCCGTCTCACGGGACCGAACTGCGCGGCTCTGGGCTCCTGACGGGTGAGTGCCGGGCCGCGGCCCTGGTCGGGCCTGGGCGGCCGGTTCGGGCCGCGCAGTGCGGGAGGAAGGGCGCGGAGGTGTAACCGCCGGGTCGGTCCCCGCGGCCGTGACCTTCCTTGGGTCTGCTGACTGGAGCGGCGGGGGCTTGGAGGGGTTGTGCGTGGCGGTCTGTTCGCTGGAGCCGTTTTGTTGAGTTTGCGGATGGCTGAGGCATTGGTATTGCCAATGCGCGCCTGCTTTTGGGGAAGGTTGTATTTGCTCGGATAGTTAACCGTATGTCGGTATTTTTATCGTGATTTGCAGGCTCTAGTCATGTCTGTAAATCCGGGCGTCTTTTTTTTCCGTGTAGTATTGATGTGGTTTTCACCTTTTGGTATTCAGTACCAAAGTACTTTGAAGTAGTAACAGTGCTGTATTTTTGACGACAAGGCAGTATGTTTTGAATATTTTCAGAAGACTTTTTCTTGCCCTTCCTAAGCAGACTTCTTTGAACATAAAATGGAAAATGAACCAAAAACTACACAGAAAATTTAAATACACGAAGATACTGGAAAAGGAAGAAAAACCATTATTTTATGATACTTATGTTGTACAGGGTTGTCTCCTACTGGATTTATCTTGTTGATTTCACTCAGTGAATTTTTTAGCATATTGTGACCAGAAGAGGTGCTGCTAAGCAATGTGAATAGGAGATGGTGGAGATATAAGGTATTGTAGGAAGGCACAGCATATATCTCCTCACCCGTCTATAGTTTTAAAACTATGTGAAATGCATTCTGAAGTTGCTAGGCATGGATATTCTTTCCACTGCCTTCTGGTGAAACAGAGACAACTGGTGAATTTGCCAGAATGCTCACACATGTGTTTAAATTGGTGTCTCTAGCTCTGTAGTTGAGGGGAGGGAAGACTGATCTCATTAAGTGTGTCTTGTTAAATCTCTCATCACAAGGGGAGAAACTTGTTAAACTGTACAGAAATTTATTGCAGGAAAGGGGGTCTAACCCATAATTTTTGAGAGCTGTATGAGGAAGACGTGATTAACTTAGGTAGAGTCATGGCACTGATAATGATTATCTCTCTCTGCCTTGACTCTGGGATTACAGTAGGCAGGGTAAGCAAACTGCTGTATGTAATTTCTCTTACTTAAATTTTACACACAGATATGTTACCTTCATTTGTTCTCTGTACCTTAAGCAGTAAAGATGTTTCAGAATTTAGAAGAGTATCATTTCCTCTACACACTCCAAGCTTTCCAAGCATTACAGTATGAAGGATGACAGTGTGGTATGATAGATTATGTTGGGTTGTTGGGGGGTGGGGGGAGGGAACAGACACAAAGAAAAAAAAAACCTAAAGCACCACCACCACAACCCATGCATTTATTGCATCAGGATAAGTAGCTTTTTCCAGTTACTGCTATAACTATGGACTCTGGATCATGATGAATAAATAAGGGTTCTGCTTGGATCAGTTAGAATCTCTTTAGCTATCAAACCTCTACAGTAGTCCTAATTAAGAGCCAATGAAATGATTTGACAGGCAGTAAACTTTCTTCATTTATGTGCACTGTTATGTTGGGGTGTACTGGAATACATATTTGAGTCTTGAGACACCAAAAGATTTCATAAAGGTAAACTATAACTAATTCTGATCAAATTGGGCATAGTGTTTGCCCGTAAGCAAGGAAAACCAAAACTATGTCTTTCCAGGCCTACCATTACTGAAAAACAATTAGAAAGCTTTAATTATTGCTTACTGGGTTGGACTGCTGGGATAGAATTTTTCTCTGAAGTTTTTCATTCATTCTGCATCATCCACAGTATTTATTCAGCACAATGCAAGCAAGCATAGTTATTAATTCAAGAGTTGGAGTATAAAACAACTGTTATAATTCAGTGACTCAAATACTGTTTCTGTTATGACCCTGAACTGATTATTGTGTATGTTTAGTCTTAACAGGGGTTTTACTGAAATGCACTGTATGAGTGGCCACTCAAATTTTGTATCTTGTGTGTGCATCATACCTCCAAGTGACCTTTATCCTCGTGGGCTGATTGCAACTGGTGGCAATGATCATAATATTTGCATTTTCACAGTTGATAACCCAGCTCCTCTTTACATCCTTAAGGGTCATAAGAACACAGGTATGTAGTAATTTTATTTTGGAGTTTATTGCATAAAAGTTGTTATTTGTCAGAGAGAAAATTAGGTTAAAGTTATAACACTCGTGTTTTTTTTATTTCTTTGGTATTTAACATAGCAAACTATTTAATTATGTCCTCTGCAAAATAGGATTTTATAATCTCAATTCATGTAGTGACAGTTCATTGCTAGGACTTCCAAGTTTATGCTGAAGAATGCTTGAGCTTTTACTGTATATGTGAACACATAGCAAGTTTCAGAATGATTACCCTTTTGCCAAGGTTTGTTTTTAAGAAGCAGTAATTTAGTTCCCCATGTATTAAGCTTGATTTTTGTGTCAAAGTTGACAGAAGTAGAAAAAGTCAGCTTCCTAAATAAGCAAACTTTCACTGCCCATTTTGTTACTTAGATGGAGATCTAATATTAACTGATGCTTTAAATAAAGACTAAAAGCCAACTTTAGACACGTCAGTGTAACATGACGTATTAAACACAATTTTGCATGCCTTTTCTTCAGCTATGTAATGAAACATTCAGAAATTTTCATATTAGCATACTAAGTTTTTATTTTCCTACACTGATCTAGTATTAATAGACCTTTCAACTGTTTTGTCATGTAATTATAGGATGTCAGAAATAAGTATTTCAAGTTTTGAAGGTTTTGGGTCTTTTCTTTACTGTGTTAAAGAACAGTTGTGGAGATCAGTTTGAAAATACCCTAGACTGCTAAACAGCACCAAAAATTCATTCTTGTATTATAAACCTCTTGGCTTTCTTTGAGCAAGAAAATAGTGTCATTGTGTAATGAGGCATGGAATGGCTTATGTACTGTATCAGAAACCTGGGAGAGATGAATAGTGAAAATGACATGCAACATGCTCCCCCCAGACATGTAAAAAGGGATGAGGTGTTCTAGACAAGTTATAGATTCCCCTACACAAGAGTATTTCTGGCAATTTCTTTAGGAATATAAAACATTAAAAAAAAATGTAAAATTACATTAATTGCAAAATCTGTTTTTAAAGTGGGGAAAAAGTAGGACATGAGAAGTGACAGGGGTAAGATACTGCCCAGTTCTCAGTGTGGAGTCACAGAAGCCAGAAACACAAAGCCATACTTTCCTTCTATGAATGATTAGATGGACAGGGTAGTACTCTCTAACTCTTTGTAAACTTATTAGTAAACCTTATTAGCACTGTGTGTTTTCAGTTTTACACCTGTGTATTACTTGAGCACTTGCAGATTATTTTTTTTGAAAAATCTTTTAATGTCACCACAATTTCTTGGTAGAATTATTTTGCCTTCCAAGATGGTAACCTAAGTATTTTCTTGTACAAAATACTGCTCTTGAGGACATAAACTAATACAAGTTTGTCTGGGAACTGGCTGGATGATCACACTCAAAGAGTTGTGGTCAACGGCTGGATAACCAAGTGGAGACCAGTGCTGAGTGTTTTTTTCGATTCTTCTCTGCATTCCACAGGGAGGGAGGAGGGAGGGAGTGGCTGCATGGTGCTTAGTTGCTGGCTGGGATTAAACCATGTCAATATTCTAGTCTGAGGAGAAGAGCAGTTTCGAAATATGAATGGCAAAAAGATGTGAAAATTTGTAATCTAAAGTGAAGAGGGTTTTAAGCAATTCCTTTCTATTTGGCAGTGCAACTCTTAATTCTTCCCCAAACTCCTCAACACTAAATATGCTACTAATACTAAGTAAATATCCTTAAATAAATCTCTTTAAATTGGTGGCAATTCAGGAAACTAGTCAATGCTGATTTGAATGTTCATTCCAGTTTGCAGCCTTTCATCTGGGAAATTTGGCACGTTATTAAGTGGATCGTGGGATGCAACAGCCAAAGTCTGGTTGAATGACAGATGTATGATGACACTGCAGGTATGAAGTTCCTCTTTGTGAATGTAAAATAGGTACTCCAAATTTGATTCTGACAAGTCTAACAATGTTGTTTATTTTCAGGGTCACACAGCTGCAATATGGGCTGTGAAAATATTGCCTGAACAGGGATTAATGTTGACTGGTTCGGCTGACAAAACTATTAAACTCTGGAAGGCAGGCAGATGTGGGAGAACATTCACTGGTAAATGTTGCTGCATTTAGTAATTTCATCAGGGTCATGTGCTCTTTTAAAGAGAACAGAATAAAAACTCCACAAAACTGTAGATAAATTGAGTGATTCTTAGGCAGGGTTTTTGCTGTCTCTTAAATTGTACGCCCAGAAATCACACGACTTTCAAAACAATTAGATTTTTTTTCTCAGAGAATATTGAGCAATTAATTACTTTTTAAAAAAAAAAATTATTCCCATAATGAAGATTGGTTACCAGGATGTAGATGTGAGCTAAATTGAAATAGTATACTGCTGCTAATGGAAATGGTATAATGCTACATTAAAAGTTTTCCTTTCTTTTATAAAGGACATGAAGATTGTGTGAGAGGTTTAGCTATTCTCAGTGAAACGGAATTCCTTTCCTGTGCTAATGATGCTAGTGTTCGAAGATGGCAGATCTCTGGCGAGTGTCTGCAGGTGTATTATGGACATACAAATTATATATACAGCATCTCTGTTTTCCCTCGGTGTAAAGGTAGGATTATTTTTGTGACTGTTACCCAACATTCTTCCAAAACAACATGACAAGGTGGGTGTTCAGTGGAGATGCCACAACTAAAGAACTTAAGTA